ATTTACTTGAAGGAAAAACTGCCTTTGCTGCTTTGGCTCTTGCACAGCTTTGTCCATGCTCCAAACATTGTCAGCATCATTAAATGGCTATGCATCCCAAGACACAACTGAGTGCTGTGTTTTTGGAACAAAAGTCTTTCATTTCTTTGTTTTTAAAATATATATATATTACCTCCATAAAACTATGTATTTCTGTTAGAATTAAGATTTATGGGTAAGTAAACTGGAGTTGATCTGATAAGTGTCTTTCAGGAAATAAAACAAATCATGTCACTTACCGTGAACAACAGTGGGAAAGGCCTGTTTTGTCATGAGCCATTTGTTTTCTAAAAAGATGGCTTCATTTGCTCTTAGAGTTCTTCACATCTGTTCCTCCTAAATTTACCTTTCATTGAAGCATTTACACACAGTCTTTAGTTACATAACATCGCAGACATTTTATTCATATAAAAACTTATCAGATGAAAAAATGTCCCATTTTGAACTATATATGACTTAGAGATCTGCATCCATTTAAACGCTTAACAGCTGTAAGAGATGAGCTGCACAGTGTAAACATAGATGACCATAAAATGGCAAAGAGAGCCATTTCTGTGACGGAGAAACGGCCATTTCCTGATTATCACCGATAATAAACCTAACTGTGAACGAGCTTGTTTTAGAAATGAAAGATGAGAACGTAAAATGCCCATTAAAGCAGCAGAAGCAGTCCGTGTGAGCCTGTTGCCACAATCACTATTGATCCAATTAAAATGTCATCTAATGCTGAATTTAGCAGAGAAACTGGAAATTACCGCAGAACGAAAGTAAACATCAGAGAAACCTTTGAGAGCGACCTGAAAGGCAGATACAAATGGAAAGGGGATGATCGGGTTTAAGTGATGTTCAGGAATGAGTCATCAAAATGACAAAATGACACCTCGATGACGCTGTAAAAATGCTCCGTGACAAAGCTCCAACTTGCAATGATGACCTGCTAAATTAATATTGAATTGTTTTACCAAATGTGACAACTTCCTCCAAGGGGCTTGATCATGAAAATGCTGCCAGGGTTTGAAGACATTTATCATCCAGAGTCCCAAAATGATGTCAATTTGTGCAAGAAAACACATCATGAGTGCAATTTGTAGAAGATCAAGCCTTAAAGCTTCAACATTTACCTCCAGCCTTCTGGTTTCAAATAAAATTAGGAGACAAGCAGCAGGGTAATGAGGCACTTAGGAGAAATATGAACCAAATATGTTTGCTGTATAATGTGCCACTTTCAATCTGATTACTTTTTGTGAATGAGAAAATGGAAACGCTTCTTCTGCCAAGATTTGTCATTAAAAAATGACAAATCATTTTCAACATGTTTAGAGCGAGAAAACAAATGTTTGTCGGTTTTAAATGCTTTAGATTCCATAGACTCGGACATGTTAACTACCAAAAAAAATCCCACTCACGGTTATTCTTAAGGGTTACATCAGATCTTTCAAGTTTGTAAATGTTTGCCAGACAATCACTCATTTCATCATCCATTAATAAAAATTCTCTTTAATGACCATTTATACCACAGCCATTTGATTTCCCACTTTGGATGAATAAATCCTCTGGCAGTGAACAGCTCTCCAGGCTTCTTGAAAAACATTCCAAAGCTCCTCTTTGGATGTTGGCTGCCTTTTCTCCCTCTCTGCCTTAGTAAAGTTGAGGTTTTAGCTATGCAGGGGATTCCTCCCTCCATCAGAACTATTACCTCTGCTTTTCAGCCCACGTCTTGAGTTATTTGGCAATACTCTGCCTCCTAACCAGGTTTCCATTCATTACAAAAAGGCTTCTCAGCAGCCACCTTCCAATGATTTAACACTGGTTACTTCCTTGAGTTATGTTATTTTTGCATAATTGAAAAACAAAAGTCCAGGTTAAGTGGCTGAAATTGAAAAAAACAACAGCTCCTTCTTCTGAAAATGAGAAAGAGAAGAGAAAAATGCAGCCTATGTGTGCAGAAAAGCTGCAAAAGACCTTCAGAAAGCCTTGAGAACTCTTACTCAGGACCGCTTTGATGCTTTTCACACAGGATCAAACGCAGGTATAACGTGATAACTGTCCACAGAGTCTTTAAGGGTTAGCCAGCAGCTCAGCGCCGCGGCTCACTGTGAGTGCACGTCCCGTCTGACGCCGCAGGCCTGTCTGTAGTCTCTTTCCTTCATGTGGATCACATGCTCCTGCAGCTTCTTCAGACTGGACTCGTCCACCAGAAACTCCAGGGTCACCTCTTTGAAAACTTTACACACCGACACCTGCAGCAAACACAGTGTGATTAGCATTTCAGAGCATAACGCGCTGGAATGTTGATATAAAATCCTCTTTTTTTCACCTCTTGGAAGTGCAGCTTCTTGAACATGGCAATGCTGACTTGGTTGTCCAGTCCGATTTTTGCTTGAAACTTTTTAACCCCGAGTTTGTCGATCCCTGATGGAAGATTACACACTGGACATCACAAAACACAAACTATTCTTCAAAGGCGATTCCAGAACCAGCGCACGTTTGAGGACTGCCAGCTGCATGAAGCCACTCAGCAATTAGTTTTTGTAGTGTTTTTTAAATCATGTAGGACAATTAAGGAGCAGGTATCTATCAGAGATTCAACAGTTGGAGTTTTCTATAAGAATAGGACAGTTCAAATGTTTTTTTTGTTATTTTTTTGCAATAAACACCAGCACACAGTGATTCAAACCAGCTGCCTCTGCTGTGGCTCACACATGAAACACCTTCAACTCACCGTAGCACATCATCATGCGAGTCACTTCCTTCCCAATGCCCTTTCCTCTGTAACTCGGCTCTGTTGACAACAAAAAGAAACAAAGTTTTCACATTTTAGTCAAAGAGCCGATGATTTCCTGCCCTGAATGTCTGTTGGTCATTCCATCAAATAACTGAGTGGCTGAATGCATCGTGCTCCAATTGGATCAACTTGAATACAACAAAGCATTATGAGAAATAAATACAAGAATATCACCAGCGACTAGTTTGTTATATCAGCAAGATAATTCACCAGTGGTCCAGTTAGCTTTTGCTTTCTGTTAGCACAGCGACTGTAAAATCTTGAGAAAATGTGTGAGCGAGCTGTGTTTGACCTGCTATCATGATCTCCAGCTCAGCCAAGGACGGATCTGTGGGGTCAGTCAGGAAGATGTTGACGTCTCCCACCATGCACTGCTCCTCCTGGACGCTGGCGTCTGCCAACCACTGCTTGTCCAGGATGATGAATGTGCACTCTGGAAAATTGGATAAAGCATTACTGCTGTTAAAGCGTTGAAGGAATGTCTCTATGCTGAGCATCTATCAGTTATTTTGGCGCTCAGGCTGCTGGATCCGTACTGTCGTCGTCTTCCCTCCAGCTCCTCTGCATGTCGTACTCCTGGTCCAGGGTCAGCGGCTCTGAAGCGGTCAGCTGCTGCAGCTCAGGAGACTTCATCCATTCGTGGTATCTGTAGGAAGGACGCACAATTTAAACTGACCCACAATCTTAAATTGTACTTGGAAACCCATTCACTGTTTTTTTATAAGCCAGAGGAGAAATTCATTATTGCTTTGGTTTACTAAAACTGTCCACAATACAAACTGAACTCAAGTATAGCTTATGATTAGTTTATAATCAACTAAATGAAAAGTAACAGGGATTACCTGGGCACGTGCTCTGCGTTGTAAGGAACCAAGGCGACTCTGTGTCCCTCAAGCAAAGTATTCTCATTTATCTTCATGGTGGCAGAACCAGCTGGAACTTCACAGGTTCACGTTGACGTCCATCCATACCCGGCAAGCTCACCTCACTCGGGACTTCCGCAATCAAAGGAGGTCGCCGCGCATGCGTCGATTGTTGTACAGCTGAAGGGCGCCATCTGCTGGGCAATATTGGGAAGCGCAGAAACAAGGCAGGGCTCCTCTGACTGACGCAGGTTTTAATGTCAGAGCCAAAAAGCTGCGTACAGTTGCTGTGGAGGATTTAGAACGCTTTGTTTTATTTTAACCATTTATCAACTTGAAAATATACATTTTCTTTCAGCTGTGTTTCTGTCTCCCCAATTTGTTACCATAATGAAATCTTATAGGAAGTGTAGCTAATAGTGTATTTACTCTGTATTCATTCACACCAACTTTTGAAGAAAATACCTTTTTCTCGGGCTTTAAAAAAGGCACCGCTAACTGTATCTGTCACCAAAAACAACATCTGAAATGAACCAGAACGGTAAAGCGTGCAGGTGCTGCAGCCAAACACTGAACCAGAGGCAGTTCTGTGCCTCCTTTGAGTTTGAAAGCAACAAATAGTGTAAATATTTTGCGTCTTTTTTCCGGTCTTTGTATCCGTGCACATCGTAAAACTCCGATGCAGAATTTAATGGGTTCGACCGAGTCCGTGCCACAGTTTGATCGGCTGTTCTGCCGCGTTGACCATGTCCATCCAGTGCTGCAGCTGAAGACCCCTGGCATACATGAAGGGACCCAACACCAGCGCTCCAAGCAGGACCGGCGGTTCTGCAAGTACAGTGGGGGGGAGAACCAGGCTTTATGAAACTGTTACAAAAGTTGAAAAGGTGATTACATTCCTTAACCCTTGTAATCAGCATGTCCACAGACTGATAAAATACTGAGTCAATTTCAGCTAAATCCAACCAGATGGTGACCGAATGTCAATATATCAAGTGCTGTGAATTGTTGACGCCATTCATGTTAAATAGAAGAAAAATCTAATGTCATGCGGTCACCTGAGCGGCTGTCGTTGGGCTGCTGCAGCTCAAACCTCAGACAGGCCTCGTCCAGGTGCTGCGGCCGTAGCTTAAAAGTCATCCGGTGGTTGAACACGGGCTCCGCCTCGCTTCTCACCACACAGCTGCGCTTTATCTTCAACACCTGGGCGTGTATCTGTAAGCTCACCTGGACACACACACCTGGGGAGCACGGGCCAGGTGCTGCGTGACCACACGGAGGCTCGGCCCGGTGGGGGGAGTTTCATCCACGAGCTCACACCTCATACTGCTCATACCTGCTCCGGTGAGCAGCTGGAGGCCCCGAGCTTTTAAAACCACCACTGAGAGACGCTGCAGAGATGAACTGTAGCTGAGAGATATCAGCATGTCCCCCACCTCCGAACACTGGACACAGGAGTGCGACCACGAGCTTATGGTCAGTCTCTCCTGAGCTCTCGTGTATGTGTGGGCATTACCTGTGTGTCCTCCTCGGGCTCCAGGTCTCTCCAGAGCACCCTGCCAGCATGAGCCAGCTCCCCCTCCAGGGGAAACAGGACCCGACCCACGGCGTGTCTTTTCCCGTCCTTCCCCACGCTCAGCACGCACACACTGAGGGTGCTCCGTGGCACACACACTCCCGACACCTGCCGAGCACACACACATACACACACACAGCGTTCCAACAGGTGTCATTCTGCACGTCGCGGATCAAACGAACCTCCGTGCCCTCGCCTGGAAAACGAAGTGGTCGTCAAACTCCGGGTCGGGGCCCGTTCTGCGGGCCTTGGCCTGGCGGGGCCGCCGGTCATCGGGGAGAAGCCGGAGCTCCACCAGGGTCACGTTTCCGTGGAAACGGGGAGGGAGGTTGCTGAGACGGAGTAGGGAGACCACGAGTTGTTCGCTGCTGTGTCGGTATTCCGCAGAGAAGCACAGGCGCGTGGCCAGGCCCGGAGGTGGGGCCACCACCTCGTTCAGGGGGGTGGTGGAGTAGAGGCCAGCCAGCACTGACCCCACCGGGTACCAACCTGAGAGTTTCCAGGGCTCAGATTAACAGCGTTTACATTGGTTTCCACATGGAATGGCATTTTGTAGATTAGTTAATTCAAACCCCAACTTTTCCCCAGAGGGAACCCCCCCCCCCCCCCCACAATAGTCTGATGGATAGCAGTAACACCAGGACCTACTTCTCACTGAGAGGGACCCTCGATGAGCCAGAATGTTCCGCCAGGCTTCGGTCTTCACTCCTTCCATCTCTGCTTTGTTTTCGCTCTCATCGTTCCGTAGCTCCCCATTGTTTTGTGTGACAAAACGAGGAGGTAAAGTGAAAGGGATTTGGCAGGTTCTTTCATACACAGACGGATATTCACAGATCAGTTTTCTGCCCAATCCCCGTTGGCTTGATTATCTGTGTTTCTGGGACTCAAACCGGACACCACATTTTTAAACAAAACCCACAAAATCTGATGGCCAACCTTCATGCTCATCTTGTGGGAAAATGTAATTGCTGTCAATTTAAAACTAAATGTTTTTGGAGAACCTTTATCGATGAACAGCTTAAGCAAGAAAAAAAGTCATCCATGTACTTTTAACATTCATAATGGTACTTACGAAGCCAGTAAGCCCTGAGACACCGGGATTACTGGAGCAGAACACGCTGGTACTGAGGGTACAGTAGAGAGCAACTTCAGGTACTGACTCTGCTGCTTCTTCTTCTGTTTTCTCTTCCACAAGCAACACACCATCAGAATCAGCAGCAACAACGTCAGCAGCCCCACAGACAGACCCACAGACAGCAGCAGCACCTGGCCTGACCAACCAAACAGACAAATGAAGGGCTTTGTGCGAATCACAATCAGGGGCTTTAATATGCTTAGAATCATATCAACTCTACTCACCAGCCATGAATGAGGACACCTTCAAGTCCAAGTTGTTGTGACTTCATGTGCTGACTGCGGCATTCCACTAGAATCGGTTATTTACTCACAAGTCTACGATTCGGGAGTCTGGAGCACCGTGAGAGGGTGGCTCAGCTGGCTTGTTCTCACCATGTTATCTGCAGGACATGATAAAAGAGGGGGGGCTAGAAAGAAAAAAAGTTTGGCCCATTTTGAGCCTGAACTAACTTGCCAGAAATGGACTTTCTCCAAACAGTATTTCCATGACAAAAAAATGTAGGGATAATAAGCCAACTGACAGAAATTTGTAGATGTTGAAAATCTGTCACTATGAAAAAGTGAAATTCAAAATAATCTTTTTTTAATGTGGCTTTTTTCCAGACCCCTGCATGATAACCTTAGAATATTTGTGAATAAGGTGGAGATGATACATATCTTTTTTTAAATAACTTTAAGTCCTCCTGACAGCCAGCATTGTACTGCTGCCTTTTAATGGGAAAGAGCTTCAGAGCTTTGATCATCCCTTTAACTGGATGAACCCCAACAAATCACATATCAGGGGAAGGCCTTGGGTGTCATTACCACTACACCACAAGTTTTAGTCTTGTGGACCTTTTCTTTTTTGGATAAAGCTGTGAAATGTTTGCCCACGTCGGGATCTGCACCTGGTGAGTCACAACCAAATTAGCTCACCTGGAGGGAACTGATTGGAAACAATTCTGAACAGATGATTTAGTTTTTCTCATCTATGTTCTCACTAGATATATGAGCAGGAGCTCAACCTGCTGAATACTTTTGGTGCTAATCACAGGACACACTGAGGAATTTGATGTCTGTTCAACATTGTTCACAAATGTACTTTCCAGAGAGAAAGCCAAGATTTAGTTAATCTAACCTGTGAGAACTGGAACCCTAAAGACCACCCATGAGATGGCATTAAAAACAAGTTGTCAATGTTAGAACAACAAGGTTTATAGATCAAAATAGTTAAATAACTGGTTAATTTATACTATCAAGTCCTGAATTTAAGCTTTGTTTAAAATAATCTGACATTTCACAGCAAGTTAGTCTTTCCAACCAAAACACATGCAGAAAAGAGTCAATTAAACATTTAAGAGACCTCTTTAGATTCTGTTACGGCCCTACAACTTTAAAACCAAAGAGGACAACTTTGTGCTCCACAAATAAAAAATAAGTAAATAAGAGAATGTGAAATAAACCCTGAAGACTAAGATTTTGGACTTTTTTTCTTTTTCCTTGTTCTGAAATGACTCATTTTCCCATTGAAACAGTGACAGGTATGGATTGGCAGCAAGACAACATTTCATTTAGATTTAGAGTATTGCTGCACAACATGATTTTATACAAATCAAATTGTCTTTAAGGCAATTACACTAGAGGATACAGGAGAAAAAGTAATTTCCTGTAATTTGTCACGTGGATTGAGTTCATTGGGAGCACAGAGGCAATGGGGTACGTACACATTCCTTAGAGGGTCAGGGAGGCTGGATTAGTCAACTGGGGCCCGACACTAACAGATTTTTCTAAAGTCTCTTTCAGGTTAATCTGACCATGAACGACAGCTGGTAAATAAAGCGTAAAGATTAAATGGCTAGCTCCAAACCCTCATACCAACTCACTTCTTAGTCAAAGCAGGAGTTGAAACGATGGAATGAAATCATCGTTTGTGATTTAATTCTAAGTTTGTAGTTGTTACGAAGTAAAGCTGATTTAAACAAAACCAACTGGAAAGAGTGAGCATGGGAAGGGAATTCTACTGGAGAGCAGGATTACTTCAGGGTCATAGGCTCCAACAGCAGCCAGTAACTTTATCAAAACCAGAACATCCCTCTAATCTCCAGAAGAAATTTTAAAAGTATTTCAATGTTTTTTCTTACATGTGCTGCACAATTGCTTTTGTAGAGCAATAAGACACAAACGAGAGTAACAGAGTAGAAGACCAGAACAACAGCAACAGTTTATATCTTAACATTTGTTGTTGGGAGACTTAAAAGCTGAAGAGAAAATGGTGTTTCTTGCACCTTAAGTCAAGGTTACATGCACTCTTGGGCTGTTACAAGTCTACTGTATAAGGAAATAGGGACAAAATGAATGTTTTTTTTCGAGCAGTCCAGTAGCCACAAAACATCATTTCTGACATGTTAACATGTCTGACAAAATAAACAGAAGATAATGTGTGTCTCAGCAACTTTTTAAAAGTAATTCACATTTGGAGCCGTTGCAGGTCACCAAGGTTAAACTGGGTCTAGCTCTTCTTATTCAGGCAGAGTGGATTGCATGTTCATTATAATTCAAATCCAATGTAAAAGACTGGATTTATACAATTAAAATGCAAAATTGGGTCAGTCTGACATGTTAATATTTTTTCTAGTGTTATATAAAAATACTGCAGTGTCACTAGAGCACATTATTGAGATAAAAGAATTAGATGACAAAATGCTGAAACCTTTCAGCAAACATTTCTGTGTTTTTTTTTCAATTTTAGCTCACTAACTTGCTAAAGTATCTCTTAATAGCCCTTGCGGTGACCATTTTACCTTAATGGAATTAGACCTCAGCACAGACTAACATAGCTCTTAATCTACATTAATCCACACCTTTAAACATGTAATACAAACAAAGACAATATGCTATGATACAGCTGACAGATGACATGATCTTAAATCCAAATCACAATGTTCAAAAGTCCTTTGCAACCCCTGTTCAGTCACACACGTAGACAAGATTGGACAGTAGCTAATAAGATGAGAGGTAATCCTGAGATTAAGATGTATAGAGTAATGGCCCTCTTCCTGCCCCACACGAACATGAAGATACAGCACACAGCACGTCGTCACATGGAAAAAATTTCACTTATGTTGACAAAAGATCAGGTCAGTTCAAATCAGATCAGAGAAACTCAAGGTTAAGAAAGGCAACATCAGAGAAAAAAAGAGTGTGAAGCCGTTAAAGAGCCTTGAAACTACACAGGAGATCCTCTTAAGAAGGGAGGGAGGAAGACTGTAAGAAATGAGGGGCGGAAGGAGAGGCAAGATTTAGAGCTCCCTGCTCTGTGGCAGGGCAGAGGGCAAAACAGGACAGAAGGAGTGAGCCTTAAGGTAAGCACATAATGTTCATTGTTGTCCGTCATTGTGCTGTGCGTGTTATTTGTGCATGAGCAGTCAATAAATGAACCGAGAGTTTATTTCCCCCAGTAAACGCAGATCAGTTAAGTCTGACTGACTGTTAGGTCTCGTAGGGACAGACGTGGATTATACAGTTCCACATTTTTCTAAAGCATAAACTTGGATTTACACCTATTTTTTCCAGTAATAAATCAGAAAGCTAATATTTTTTTAAGAGTCTCTTCACTGTCTTTAACCTTAAAAGAGTTCATTGAAACGTGCACTTACTAGTAGAGGAAGAATAAAATAACTGCACAGGAGCAGTTCTTGAATTTAACTGCTGCTGTATTCTGTCAAATCATGATGGCCAAATGCTCTTTTGAATACATCTCAGTTCAATCTTCATTTTGTTTCAACAATCAAATAATCTGGATTATGTAATCTCATTTGGCTAATCTGAGCGTTCCGGTGGATATGTGGCTGTTTGAGTGCATACGCTGACCTATTGTTTCGGTCGGTCGTGAAGATGTTTTTTCTAAAAACTGAGATGTGCTTAGTAAAAGACAGAGGATGACAGATTAAATTTGTCATAAAGAGGCTTCAGAGAATAATCGTCTGATTTTGCGGCCTCTGTTGGATTTACAAAGATTAGGAAATGGCAGAGAAAGAGAGCTAGCATCAAGGAGCTGTGCAAAGCAAGGCATGTAGCCAGTGGACAGAGTGGCAGACACAAAAGACACAAAAATGTACATAAGTGAAGAACAATAAAACTCTAAATTATTTAGAAATAGACCATGTATGATTACAACTTTTTAATTAAATCTTTTTCTGTCTATGGCCATTTATGAGGGCTGATCATTTAAAACGGAATTACTGTATATATGTGTGGGTGAACGTGCGTGTCTTTCCCCACAGGTCGCTACTGTTGCCATGGCGCGGGCTGGTCGCCCCACATCTGAGAGCTACCAGCCGGTCAGCTGTTCGGTCAGTCAGTCATTGTCCTCCTCCGGCGCGGCTGGGAAATCTGCGGATGAGGATGACCACACCCCCATTTTCTCCCTCTCGAAGAGCGCCATGGATGTCGTCGTGGCCGTGAACCAACCGCACAAGCGGGACCCGGCCTGGACCAGACTGGACCTGAGGCGCAGCTCCAGCACCAACACGCACTCCGTCCACAACGCCGTGATGCTCCAGCAGCTGCCCCATCAGAGGTGGCGGCACAACAGCCAGCGGCTGACGTTCACCACCCAAAACGAGGACATGCTCAGCCCTCCGTGCCTCAGTGAGCGCTGGATTTCCAACATGCAGCGCTGGAGCGGGGGCAGCGGCGGCCCGCACAGCCGCAGCAGCACCCCGGACACAGTGGTGTGGAAAGGGGGGTCCTCGCGTTCTTGCAGTCTCACCCAGGAACCTCATCTCACCTCAGCACCAGACTCTCCAATGTCCAAACTGACCACTCCACCAACTACACCCTCCCCTTTCATTTCCCCCTTCCAGACTCCGACTTTACCACCTTTGGACCTTTTGTCCTCGTCTTGTTCTGCACAACTACTGAGCACACATCGGCTACCTGAACTGGCATCTCATTCTCCTCCGATCGATATGGAGAATGAGCGCTCCCAGGAGAAACTCGCATTTGAGTTCCCTTCCCCAATCCTGTCACCTGTTAGCTTAAAAGACACAGGAGTGTTCTCAGACACTGGAGGCCAATGTGATGATGCCATAAAGGAGATGTCTAGCCCTACCAACGCAGAGTTATTGGAAAGTGATGGAAGGGAAAGTCCTTCGGAAATAATGAATAATGAGAAACCAAACTCCCCTACAGAAGAACAAGAATCCAAAGAAGAACCATCCAACTGCCATCTTGTGCTGCCATGGCAGTTGGAGCAGAGTTTGTTATCAAGCCGATGTTGGAGATCACCACTTGTCTGTTCTTTGAGTGACACACAGTTGGACAGCTTCTGCAAGTGCCGCTCGAACGCCTGGAAGGGACCTGGAAAGACTCCAGAGGGAGAGCTGTCCAGGGAGGAGGCCACAATGACTTCACAGCTGGAAATGGTGGACGCTGCTGTGCAGACGTGCTCTCCTCTGGGCTCCTTTGGTGACCTACAGAGGAAAATGTCCACTTCCAACACAGGGTCCCAGTCCATTTTGGGCTCTCCGCCTGGATCCAGACTGAATCTGAAGTCCCCCATGGGATCCCACTCTAATCTGGTGTCCCCATCTTCCAGCATGTTCCCGGTGAGCAGCGGTGACGATGAGGAAGAAGAACAGGATGACCCGGAGGGAGATTTAGCCACTGCCACCTCACCCCATCTGGAGGGGAGGAGGTCGTGTCTTAAGATGAACCAGGATGCACGGGACGAGATGGGTAGGAGGTGCAGCATGAAGCAGGTCCAGTGGGACGAAGACGGGCTGACGTGGGACGTTCACGGAGCATCTGTGGACCCAAAGCTCCTGAGCACAGCCATCCAGAAACACCTGGAACTCAAGACCTCCCCCCAGCCACCAAAGCGCCCCTCTAAGAAAAAGAAAGCCCCAAAGCCTCCTGTCATATCAAACCTCATAACAACGATGACCCCTGACATGAATCCATCTGCACTGAGCATCAAATGTATGGTGGAGGATGAGAGTCAGGACACACTGAAGCCAGATGAGGAGCTGCAGGACGCAGGTGGGAAAAAGGAGGAAGCCGTGGAGGTTCCTCGTAAACAAAGCGGAGGGGAGCGAGACAACACCAAAGCTGCCGAGAACCTTGAAGAGCAGGACACCAGCAGCCCAAAGCCCATCCCTCACGGCAGTGGACAAATCAAGAAAAAGACTGTGATCAGGTCACTGAGGAGGCCGCGGTGGTGTGGAGGCTCCAGAAACACAGACGACTGATACCAAAAACTCTTGTTTGTACTGTTCATGCTTTGGTCTAAACCTTCAGTAAAACTAGTCGGCTACATGTTTAGAGATGTTTGATAAAAACTACAAAAAACTCATAGATCAGATCTGATGAGATAGTCGTGGAGGTCATCAACTGAATGAAGAAAACATCCATCATGAGGTCAAACATCAATAAATAAAGTTGTTCAAGTCTTTCATATTGCTGCAAAGTTCTTTTTTTCATATTAAAGAAAGTTACTGAAGAAATCTCTGTGTAAATTTGACTTTTCTTGTCATGCTACTTTAAAATAAAGTCTGGCTAATGTCTGATTTCTGGCCAGTGTTACTATTGGCCACAGCTATTCTTCTTTCCCATTGTATAATAACCAACGGCTTTTCTTTTGATTAATCACACAAAATCACATATCAGAATGTATTTTGGGGCTCAGAGGGAGTCTCTGAGTCATCAATAATTGCACCTGAACCTTCATTTGAATATCTGATTTTGGAACAAGTTCCGATTCATAGACAAAAAGCCCCACTCTCTCCACTCATTCGGTGCTGGAAAAACACCCAAAGTTTAGTTGTATGTAAACTTGATGAACCACAGTGGTGAGGTTTGACCATTCAAGCGCTGCCATTCAGATGAGCGGGCACATTCTCTCTCATTCACTACTGCAAAAAAAAGATCAGCTCACTCGTGGCTTCTACTGCAGTTGTTGTTGTCATATTTCCACAGATGTGTGTGTTGATGCATTACCGGTGTGTGTTTCCATCTTCTGGTCTTTAAGGATTCAATGAATGCAATAATTGGTGGAAAACTGGATTCGTGGAGCACAAATATTCCGTGCGTAATTCAATTAATGCACTGCAGGCAATCATACAAAATATCTTAATAAGTCACAAAAGTTACTGTTTGTATTAACCAACCATCAAGAAATGTGCTCATCAGTACCAAAGAAGACGAAGCAATGTGAAATTACTAATTGAAATCAGTGTTAAGATGCTTTGGTTTGGGAAATGTAAATGGCCTTTTTTTAAAGAATAAAACTGACATTGATCTATACTTAAACTCTCAATTTAAACAGACATAAGTTAAGCTTCTTTTCTTTTGCTGCTTCGTGTTTACACAGGATGAAGTGCGATGGGGAGGGAGTTTGGAATCTGGAGGACCCGTTCAGGTCACAGTGTCACTGCTGCAGGTCACGTGACATGACGTGATGTTTGTGTACAGTAGAGTGTCGCCTTTGTCTTGTGTGCATGCTGGTGTGCTGCGAGCATACTATGTGTATGTGAAAGTGCTGATGGGACTCCCCAGAATCCCCTTTTTCTCAGCTGCAGAGCAAACTCAAAGCTACAGGAGAACTATCCAGCGCTCTGCCTTTGTTGGGACACGGCTCATTGTCCCCCCCCGGAGGTGTGCAGTTGTGTTTGTGTGTGTACCGCACGCACACCTGTGGATGTACATTTGAGCATGCTTGCTGCCTGGTATAAATAGCGTGGGATGCGTACCGACCGGTGATTCTGTGGAAGACGATGGCTGTGCCAGGACCCCCTCCGCGCCTCCTGCCTCTGTTGCTGCTGCTGCTCTTGGGCAAGGCATCTCTGCCTGCAGCCGCATACACGCTCAATGCAGGACGGCAGCCGCAGCACAAAGTCCTCCATCTGGGTGAGGGCAGACATGCGCCGACTGACATGTTTGGAGTGAGCTTTAAATGGACAGAATTTTAACCAAAATGTGCGCATCCTTTTCTGAATATGTGTTGATCCTCCTAGATTGGCCAAGGGATTGTGGAATGTCCCACTTCAAGCCCAACATGGCTGAGAGGATTGTGTCTGGGAATGAGGCTCGACCTCACTCCTGGCCCTGGCAGGTCTCTTTACAGGTAAATACACTGAAAAGGTAAATAATTTTGTACAAAAAAGTAGGAATATTTATCATCATCTACCAGACAGGACATATGTTCAATGTAATTTTACTAGTAATATCATCCAACACTTATGTTTGGAAATGTCTCCTTCACCAGTTAGAGCAGTTAATCAAGCTCAAAACGATCTGACCAAACGGACCATTTTGTGCTATCATCGATTTATTACCTGGTATAACATGATAGTGGACATTTATTCAACATTTTTATATAGTCTGATCAGAAGAGTTGTCACTGTTTTAAGGCACAAAAGAAACTGATGATATACCAGTCAACATTTGTAAGGTCAAATACATTTAGAACAGATAGAAAAATGCTCTAAACTTGCACTCATATGAAAGGTCTGAGCATATTCCACTGCTCTCAACAGAAAGCTCTCCAAATTTCTCAAAGGCAGGGGCTTGGCAGCATAGATATTTCTTTTAGCTCAAAAGCCATCTGCTCAGTGAAGCAACTCCTCAGAGCCTCAGCAAAACCTCCACCCAGATCTGACAAAGAAGTCAAGAAAGGACACACGGACACTTTACAGCTGTTCACCGGGCCGACTTCCAGGTCACCAGTCCATAAACACATGGAAACACATCACTGCTCTCCGTGGGCAGTCCACATACAAAAGACGCTTTTTAAATGACATCCAACAGTCTGTGTTTCTGTGTGTAGTTAGTGAGTAGCTGGCATGTGACAGTAGCTGTGTTGTACTTCTGAACTGGGCAGCGTGATGAGCTTCTTGCTGACTTTCACAGGTCCGTCCGAGAGGGAGCAAACACTATATTCACGTCTGTGGAGGAACTCTCATCCATAGGAGCTGGATCCTTACGGCTGCTCACTGCTTCCAGAAGTAAGCGACCTCACCCCCATGAGTTATCATACCTAAAACTAGTTTCACTCAGTAATTTAGCTCAAACTAAACCTTAAAACAAGCCACAACTGAGCTGTTTCTTACACCCTAAGGGGTAAAGCAGAGGATGCTGGGAGTTGGAGGATTGTCTTAGGGAAGCACCAGCTGAAGCGCTCCGAGACCGCAGAGAGGATTTTCCCCGTCAAGAGGATCTACAGGCACGAGAACTTCAGGTATCCCGCTCACAGCGAGCTGGACTACGACATCGCCCTGGTGAAGGCTGGCACAGAAATCCTGCCCTCAAAGTTCATCCGCTACGCCTGCCTGCCGCGCAAGCAGACCAACCTGAGGCCGGGACACTACTGCTGGGTCACCGGCTGGGGAGACACCCGCGGTGAGTAGAGAACCGGGCAGTGGGGAAAACTACAGACCAGTCATGTGTGCACGAGCAGAGCAGACATTAAGAAAGCACATGGGAACATTATTTCGGCCTAACTGAGCTGTAAATCCTGTAATTTATGTGAGACGAGTACATTTACAGCCTATCACTTTTCAAGTTCTCAAGTCAAAGTTTAATAAACGTTTGTTTTATCATCATAATCTGACAAAAAGATTAATGAAATAATGTGTTTGTGTAAAATGCAGCAATTAAGGCACAGGACAAGAGAGATGTGTAGCAATTTCTTAATGTAACAAAGAAAAAATATGAATTTCAAATCATTATTTCAATTTTTGATCACTTTTCTGCGTCATGTATTTTTCATTTTTGTAGTTTTTGTTTGTTTTATTTCATGAAATATTTTATTACATGCTGGAACACCTCCCAGGTGGGAAGGAGAACGTGTCTCTGGCTGAATCCCTGAATCAAGCCCGTCTGCCCATCATCGACTTCAAGACCTGCAGGCAGAAGAAATTCTGGGGCGACCGCGTCCGAGACTCGATGATCTGCGCCGGTTTCAGGGACACGGAGGACCCTCCTGCTGCGTGCCAGGTCAGACCGGGTGCCACAGTAAATGTATGGGGAAAAGGGAAACTTTCCATTTCCTAATCTTCCACTCGTGTCCTCGTTCCTCCTCCCACAGGGCGACTCTGGCGGCCCCCTGCTGTGCCAGCTGGACCGGGACCGCTGGGAGGTGCACGGTGTGGTCAGCTTTGGCCCCATTGGCTGCACCGTGGAGAACAAACCCAGCGTCTTCACCCGCACCGTCGCCTACATCCCCTGGATCGAGGCGACGCGCATCAGGGACTTCTTCCTACACTGAGCAAGCGCCACCTCGGCTGTTTTTCGGGAACTCGTAGCCACAGTCCAGGTCCAAGGCAAACGCTTCCACGTCTGCACGTGCGCCAACAGCTCTCCGGCTGACTGCCCGCTCTTTGCACTTCTCCCGAGGAAAACTGCGTCTCATAATGACCCTCACATCCATTTCACTTTTGCTTATCGAGTGTGTTAAAAGGAAAATGATCATTACTATTTTTTATTTGACTTATGTTGATGATACAGAGGGTTTGATGGAGACAAATGAACAGTAAGCACTTCCAGTACAGCTTTACAGTAACTTCTTCTGGCAACGTCCAACAGCACGCACTGCAGGTTATGTTTCAATAAATAGAAGAATCAACAGACCGGAAAGGTTTTGCTCTGTTTTTGCAGGTCTAAAAAAAAGTCTTTCAGTCCAACTCCAGAATCCACAGCTGGTTAACACCACATCAGATGTCAGCATTCAATCTACGTACATTTCACTCAAATGTCATGAGTTTTGGGATTTTAAGTCAAAGGAGACAACAGAGCCTCCCGGAAACTTTTTAAATGACATCGCACCTTAATATCAGATCCTCCGTGTTCTGATCAGAACAGCGACATAACACATCAGAGCATGGACACAAATGAGGGGGAGAGGAGTAGGAGCAGCTCTGGATTTCCAGAGGAATTTAGTCCAAATTGTCTCTTATCCTAATATTCAGACACACCTCCTAACTCCCAGATTGTTTGCAGATGAGTTGTGGTGGGAAACTGGGGGCGGCTGCCCTGTCACTGGAAAGAACACTGCATTCTAACCAGACTAACTCCTCTTAGTGCTGAGGTTAAATGCTCTGTCCTCCAGATATTTGGCCCTAATGTTGAAGTGTCTGAGTGGGAGAGTTTAGTACAGCCTGGAGGCCGAGGATGAGCCGGTGAGATTGTCCCAGTTGTTGTAGAGAGCGTAGGCACCAGACAAAGCTAAACCAGCCAGACCTCCACGGGCTGCACCCTTTAATCCACCTGAGAAAAGCAAACGGGATAACAACAACAATTATTATAACGTCCGAAAACAGTAATTGTGTTTGACAAGACGTATAATCACACAACAGTTTAGCTCAGACTGCTTTTACAGGTGGTGGGTAAAAGTGTAACCTAAATCCTTCAAAACTGTCAGGAGATCAAATTAGTATTTTTCTAAATCAAAATTTCCAATTTCCACTAAAAGTTTTCTTAACCGGATAGAGCCCAAACACATAACACCTTGGTTGATGAGTCACTAAGATAATAAGTATTCGCTGTACAATAGAAGTTGGAGACTTCAAAGCCAGTCTCATTCAGAGGTTCATTAATGATACTTATTAATGTCAAATTATTATTTACTAATGTTAAGAAAAGACACCCACTTCCAGATTTAAAGAGCATCCCTGTTAACGTGCCAGCAGCCACTGTGTTGATGTCGTCTTCTGCTCCTCTAGCCTTCTCTATTGCCACACCAAAAGCACTGTACAGCAAGGCTGCAAGGACACGGAGAGAATTTTATAAGTTTATAAGAGTCCCATTACAGAGTCCCATTACAGGATCACTGAATCCAGTTCAATCTAACCTTACCGACAGAGCCGAGGGAGTTGGCCCACGATGCCCCTTGCCTGGTCACCATGTTGAGAATCCTGATGAGCAAAAGCAAATATTTAGGGGGTAAAGGGGTCCAAGCGTAGCATTAGCAGTAAAACTAGTAGGTCAACTGCACACTGTCGCCATACTCACTGTACATTACGTGGTTTGGACCATGCCATGTCACTGGTCTCCTTCAAGCCCATCCTCAGACCGTTTAAAGCTCCAAGCCCAGCTCCTGTTGAGAAAAAAAAAGATGTATCATTCAATTCCAGCGAAAGAAGGGGGTAAAAAAAAAGGTTTGAAAGGTCTGTCACAAACATTCGGAGTATGGACAACCAAGCATGACAGTTTAAGATTTTCCAATCGCAAAATCTTGGGCTATTTTCTTTAAAGTGCATCCATACAATTGAAGCTTGTATAAAAGAAAATGCATCCATTCAGTGAAAAAAAAAGAAGAACAACAACTAAGCCTGGGCAACAACATCAGGCTAAATATCTGATAACAGTTCAAGGAAAATCGTTCCAACTCCATATGGGAAAAAAGTTTTTGCAAAAAGACACATTTATTCAAGGATAATCTTTGAACAAAATGTAGGATCATGCTACTTCCTGTTACTTACCAGTCATACAGGAACCTCCAATGGTAAAAAAAGCTAGCTCAAATCTTCCTCTTGTTTTGTTGGCCCCAGTGGGTAAAATGAACTCGTCTGTGTCCTAAAAGAAAAACACGTTAAGACCTTTAAAATATAAATGACACATAGAGTAAAGAACTACAAAAGGGAAAAAACAAGTAGACGATTCAAATTTACCTGAACCAGATAACGAGGGTCGACGTTGAGGTAAGGCGACAGAGGACTCATTCCAGTCACTAAAACCAAATAATACACATATACATATATAAAGGATTGGAGACACACTGGCAAGGATATGACGTTTAAAAGTAGAGGCTGCCATGGAGTTACTAGCATCATGTAATCATGTGGCAGCTAGAGCTAGCATAACAGTATGGTTACATGACACTCACACGGCACGCCGGCGAGCTCTGTGTTGGAGTATTCAGATGGACTGCCTCCAAAAAGACCCCCAAGACCTCCTTTGAGTCCCCCCGATCCCTGCGAGTTGTTGTCCATGGTTGTAAAGGTCCCCAGCGATCAAAGCCTGGAAAGGGGGCTGCTAGCCGAGCCAAAGCGGCTAACGTGCGCTAGTGATGTCGCAACACTGAAAACCAAAAACCGGCAACTCAATGCGATGTGCACGATTCAGCGACACTAATAAATGATGTCCCGACGAAGTGTTTCAGGAAATGCTGGTGAACTTTCAAAGAGAAAACACTGTATTTTCCCTTCAGCTGACGGGAGACGACGGGTCTTATTGCTCCTGACCTCCAGCACCACACTTGGCCGTAAATCGATCACCGGTGTCGCACGACAGTTACGTCACACAAGCGCAACCTTGAAAACAGAAACTGGATGAGCACATGTTTAACATCTTTAAGATGTATTGTTTGCATAAAAATCATATGAAATTATATATGAAACTTAATTAATGGAGAAAAAAACAGATACAACACCCACGCTTTTACGACAGTTACAAAGATATGTTGTTTTAGATCATGTCCACGTGTTTTCCTGACCTTGCTTTATGAGCCGAGAGACACAAAAAGTGCTTTGAAGGAACAGTTAGAACTTTTTCAAACTGCCTTAACATACTCTAAATAACTTTATTGAATAATTAACAAATGGCAGTGGAATGTTTACACTGATGTACAAAATTACAAAATATAACATTAAAAACATGAAAAGTAAAAAAGCTGAAGGAAAGAAACAAAATAAAATATAGAAAGAAGTGTTCTGTTTACACTTAAGACACAGTACAGTTACAACATTTAGGCAAATCTTTTTAGTTCGCTCATGTAACACATTTCTCCATGAAACGAATTAGCTGTTGCACTTTTTGTGCAGATCACTGTCTTTATACAACATACATCGTCAACATAAAAAAGTTCTTAACATGTAATTAAAATACAACTGGGAGAAACAACATTCAGTCCAATTTTTTGCATCAAATTTGATTAAATAATTCAAAACTTTTCTCCATGTCCTGAAGCTAAGATGGTAAAAATTAAGATGTTATTACTATCCATTAATAAATCATACGGTCCACCTGTTTGAGCCCATGTAGTGCATCCTGTTTTCCATGGGAGGGCAGCAAAGAGCCAACAGTCCAAATGAGACCAATAAAAAAAGGGTCAAACTTGCTGGTTTCTTCCTCCTTAGTCCCCATTCTAATTAGATCTGATTTGGTTAAGTGATTTAGTTAAATTTGCCACCAGACATGCGGTCGCAAGTCAAATTTGTGTGATGTTGTTTGTAATTAATGCAGAAGGGGAGAGCTGGGCTAAATGACTTCCATATGACACCTGACAGGCCCCAATATGTACGGTGCCTGTCTTTCAAGCCATGATGCAACAGTAAGTCAGGACAGCCTGGCCATCTGCTGCCGGTCAAAGGGACAGAGGCGCTGAAGGAATTTAGTGTGGTGAATTTCACAAATAACAGAGCATCTTATTTGGATCCTGCCATTGTATGTGTGTATTCAGATGGGGCCAAGTGGAGCGATGAAGTTTGCTATTGTGGCCCAGTGTGGGTGTTTTCAGACTCTCTGGCATGATCTGTGAGTTAGTGTTCTCTGTGTTACTGCCCAGTGTGCCCACTGTCTTTCCCACAATGCCCCATTCAGCCGTGGGCCTCCCTCTCGCTATCCGCTCACCCTCTCAGGCCGAGCTGCCACCCATTTTGTGCCTCTGGCTAATCATCATCATCATCATCCTCATCATCTTCGTGGCTAAAGACGGCATTTTCAGTTGTGGGATAAAATAGCAGTGATGTCATCTTTGTTATCTTTTTCAGCAACTTCCTCTTCTTTCTTTCTTTCTTTCTTTCTTTCTTTCTTTCTTTCTTTCTTTC